TGATTAGCAAGTTACTAACATGTTTCTAACATGGTTAGCATTGTTGATAGCATGATTAGCGAGTTACTAGCATGTTTCTAGCATGATTACCATGTTACTAGCATGTTGTTAGCATTATTAACAAGTTTCTAACGTTGCTATCATGATTCTAGCATGATTTGTTTCTAGCATGATTAGCAAGTTACTAGCATGTTTCTATGCTAATCCAGCTAAAACCAGTTGATTCAGTAAAAAAAACAGCTAAGACCAGCCTAGTCTGCTAAAAAAATGGCCAAAACCACTTTAAAACCAACTTGGGAGACCAGCCAAAGCAGTCAATCAGCTTAGGCTGGTTTTAGCTGTTTTTTTTTTCAGTAGGGAGTTGTTAAGCTTTGCTATAGCAATAGACAGCTTAAATACACCATAAGTCTTATTGTATAAAAGTTTTCACCCCCTCAATGAAAGTCTATTGGATTTTAGGTGGTTTTGATAGTCTGGTTTACGAAAACCGTAAGCCGGATCAGTTAGAAAAGATATAGCAACCCGAGTCAGACCAGTCTGAAGGTCTGACCCGAGTTTGGTGGTTGTAGCTTTCAAAGTCTAGGAGGAGATACATTTTAAAATTTGGTCTCAGAAGAAGAAGAAAAAGAAGAAGAAGAAGAAGTTTAAATAGGATTTCAGTAAGCTGGCTTTTTCAAGCCAACTTAATTATGAAACATTGGTTTAATACAGATATGTTTTGTACCAATTTTGCATGTTTTTGAAAATATATTTTCTAAGGATGGGAACATACTAGAAGTTTTTGTAACATTCTAGCATATTGTGTAATATTCTAGTGCTATTCTATATTCTGTAATAATAAAAGCTGCATGCATAATAAAGTTATTGTGATCTGCCAAATTATCAGACTTTTGTAAGTCATACGTCCTGATGACCTCATTGTTTGAATAGATTTACATGGAAAATGGTTGGTTTAGGATTTACTTTGAAACTGTTTTAACTCAGTTACAATACATTACAAAGAGGCAGCAAGTAACACATTGAATTACATATGAATTAAAGTAGAAAAACTGAATTTCTTTTTTTTTTTTGTAAAACATACTCCAATAATCATTGTGTGTGTGTGTGTGTGTGTGTGTGTATGTATGTCTAGATAAAATGTATTATATTAAAATGTATTACAAATTTATATTTGGGAAGTAAACTATGTGTCAAATGAATGTGTGGAAAATCATTAAGAACATCTACCTGTTTTTCCTTTTCAGTTTCATGTTACTGCTTAATTTAGAAATTGCTTCAAGAAAGGAACAGATTAAAAAATACTTTGCAAGTCACACTTCATTAAAGCCTGTGTAAAAATAATATCCATTTTTTTTCACTGCACATACTGAAAATTGTGCTGTTCACAGAAATCTCCAGTTCATTCCATGTTCTGTGAAACTTGTCTGAGCAACAGCTGATGAAGCAAAAGGAGAATAAAAAAGCAGTTCAAACATGTACAATGGTTTGAGATGAAGTGTAGCATGTCACACTGCAGGGCACGGCATGAAATGTGTGTTTCCTTTAGAAAGCCAATGCCACGCTCTACCAGTAGAGCTACAGGAACTCAATTTTATAAGTAATTATTGTTGCAGGCAGGGTAACTGAAATCGAGTGGGACTCAAAATTGAAGACATTTTAAATGTCTTCCTTATGTGACACAGTGAGTGCAGGTCAGACTCTACTAATGAACCAATCAAAGGCTGCGTTTACACTTGGCATTAACATGTGACCAGTATCCGGATGTTGTCCACATACACATTGAAAAGACAAGTGTAAACGCGCTTCTGATCGGAATGTTATCCGATCAGCGTGTCCTGGGGCCTCATTTATAAAATGTTGCATATAAACCATCCTAAATTTGTTCTAAGATAATTTCTCAAAAGTGCATTAGTGCGATTCAGAGAAAACGAACGTGCGCACAAAAACACGTGCGTATACGCCTCTCTTCCAGATGTGACATTTATAAATTGCAAATTATCTTGAAATTGTGCGCAGCTGACTGGTGTCAGATCTCCTGTAAAAAAAACAAAAAACAAAAAAACAATATGGAATAAACTGTGTAGGCCTACAGAAAGCGAGTAAAGAACTCTCAACATTAGGCTACCATAAAGGTCAATTTAATCTCGCAAAAACTATGAACTATAAAAAATCTGACTACACTGCACAATTAATCTCTTAAGCCCCGTTCACACCAAGAACGATAACTATAAAGATAACTATAAAGTGATCACAACGATATCGTTTCTCTGTGTCGTTATCGTTATAGTTGTGGTGTGAACTATGCTATTCTTTAATATTGAGAACGATTTTTAGAACTATATCTTTATCGTTATCTTTATAGTTATCGTGCTTGGTGTGAACGGGCCTTTACACTGCATCTTTGTTGTTTATGATGAATTCGGTGCTTGCATGTATATACACCGCTTTTATTATTATTGCAGCTTAGATGTTCAAATAGCTGCAGTACTCAGACTTTGCCACAAGAAAAGTGCGTACACCTGCTCAGACCCTGATGTGGCGGTAAGTACTTTTCCATGTCAAAGACCGTTTTTATAAATATGTACGTTGCCGTGGATGAGGCCCCTCTGGACCAGGGGCCTCATTTATAAAATGTGCGTATGCACAGATTTGATCTTAGAGTGTGCGTACGCACATTTTATAAATGAGGCCCCTGGTCCAGCGGTAGTCGAGGACACATTGTGATCAGATCTCAGTGTAATGTAAACGCAATCCAGCCATCGTGTCTGCATTCGCAGGTCGACATCACGCAAAACGCCGCCCACATCTCTCCCGATCTGTCGGAAGAACAGAGCGCTAGTGAGACTCCTACATTTATTTTGATTTGTAAAATGTCCCACAACTGAAAATAGTTTTCAAAAGAAAACCCACCACTTCAGGTCGACTTTGCACCGCAGACTTATTTAAATATTGCGCGGGAAATACAGATCCGATCGGTTATCCAGATCGAGAAATCAGCTGATGTTGTCAAGTGTAAATGCGCCGTGTCCTGATTGACTGATGATCCGATCTGCTTGATCAGATCACGGTGATCGCATGTTAATGTCAAGTGTAAATGCAGCCAAAATCAGCTGTCAAATAGTTTCTGTTGGTCTTAATTTTAGGCCTTAAAAAGATCTTGAATCAAAGCAGAAAGTCTTGAAGAAGTCATGGCATTAAATGTGACATGCTCTACAAAAAAAATTTATATCTTCCTCAGTATTTTTGTTTTGCTTTCCAATACAAATATCTAAACATCCTTAAAGCAAGATACTTGAGACTACAAAATGAAGATATAAAGTCTTGTTTTTCTGAGAAAATGAACAAAATTAATAACATTTATGCTTAAAAATAACCAATTTTATCAAGGCATACGAAAACCTCTTTTCCCTTTGCATTAAATTGATTTTTCACAGAAAACAAGACTTCTTATGTAATTTTGCTTCTTAAGGAAATGTATCTTGATTTAAGAATCTTTAGACATTTGCACTGGAAAACAAGACAAAAAATCAAGAACATCAATGTTTTTTTGTTGTTGTTGCAGTAGTAATTATTTTCATATTCTAGTATTTAGGAGCAGAGCTATTCAAAAGATTTTTTAAGATGAATTAAAAAGTAATGGAGATCGTTTGGAAGTTGTATTTTTACACTTTGAAAACATTTGTGTGCTCCCCAGACATTCATCATACATTGAGGCTTACGATATGAATTTGAGTTTTGCTTACTTCTTCCATTGTCCTCATCAGTAAAAGCAACAAAATGTCCAAAAATAAACCTAGATTTGCATTTCCTGATGGAAAAGCAGCAAAATAAAGAACTAACATGATATTTAGAAATGTTGTAAACCCAAATAAGGAACAGGGAGAGAAAGATTGATAGTACATTAAATAGACGTAAGAACAAAAATCAATCATGATTCATTATGCAAATTCAGTTCTACATTTTTTAACAATAAAAGGGAGATTTTTAGACTTTAATCTGAAATGTGTTGAACGACAGGCTATAGAATGTTGAAAAGTTTGAATGGAGTTTGTACAGTAAGTAGTTTAAGCTGAATTAATTTCTTAAACTTGGGTAGAAGAAAAACAGAATGTCTGAGTAGCCTAATATCAATAAAAGCACCTTGGAAATATATTCAACTTAAGCAAACTTTTTCACACTGCTTTCATCCATCATCACTGAATCAGACCTTGCTTTTAAGGCCGTAACATCAAACATTCATAATCCTTGCACATACACATCTAACAAAGCGCATGGCTGAGTTCTGCTCCATTACGCTGCTCTGCACCTTTAAACAACAGGGATTCCTGTCCAAAATGGTCAGCTTTGCTTTTTCTCAAAACAAATGCTGTCTTTCCTTTAGCTATGAATTATTATAGAACTTAATTTAATTTGATCAGTTAATGTTTAGTTAAAATAGTAAAGTTAAAGTTAATGCTTTCTGATAAATGTAGTTTTTAGGCTTTGGCCAAAGTAAATGAAATGCTGCATCAAGCAAATGAAATGATACGTGCCTTGATTTCTGTTGTCTGTGTACAACAACGCACAACTCAACTCCTCTAGTGACTATGGATGGTTAAAAGATACAAGCAAAAAGAACAATCAGTCAGTATGCAAATAGATGTAAGACAGAAGACCAATCACAATGCAGTATGCAAATATTACAATAATGTTATTGTTTTTGTTAGATATTGAATGTCATTCTGTAAGATATTTTCTAACCTGTATACTGTCACCTTCATATATACTCAATTTCAGAATCTTTTATTTCGTTTTTATGAGACAGTCCTCTGAGCTGAAAATGTCATATGATGGATCACTGTATATAAGAACTAGAAAAACTGTCACTGCTTAAAAATGTGATTTATATGTTGCATATGAGTGTCCATCGACGGAGAAAGAAGCTTTTTGCTATAGCATCTACCAGCAGGGGTAAAATACCGCCGCTAACAAGCCACACTTTAACCCCCTGATGCTACCTTGCATCAACGTAAAATCATGGACAGCAACCAAACACTTACATTTAAAGTGGTTTTGTTTTGCCTTTTATTTGCAACACAGGCATGGAATTCAGTTCAAAGGTGGCGTAAAGCGTCTGATCACTGTTTGGTCACTCAGACTGTGGATATTGCTCAGTATACATTGAGAACACACGGCAAATAACACAGCGCACCAAAACAGGTTACACAGACGAAATAGAGACGGGTGACTGCCTTATTTTTGTAAACAGAGTGAAGTTACACATTCTCATTGCAAAGAGGGACTTGGTCCAGCTCCACCCTTTAAAGGGAAAGCAATTATGTACCCGCATTAGTGCATGCAAAAACACTGATCACCTTAGTTAATGAAGCCAAGAGGGCACTGTGCCCTCATTGTTGATGCTTCTGTTTCACTGCCGGCAGGCAGAATCAGAACAAAGGTGAAATACAAGAAGAACAGATACTCAGGGAAACCATAGACGAAAGATTTACAGACACTGCAACTGAGGTTGCTTTATCTTAACCATAGAAATGAACTCTAATGGACAATCCAATAGTAGACACGCAGTTTGGATGAATCCATTTATGGGTCAAATAACCAGCATTCTCTATTTTTTGGCCTTTATAACTATCAACACCAGAGCCATGCCTTTGGCTGACCTGAATTCGGAAGTCAGAAATGTGTTTACTTTGAATCTAGTCACTGCCGAGGTCTTCTACCTCGTAGATTAAGGTTGTTTGCTGTGTCCTAGTAACAAGTAGGGCTTTAGCAACAATAACAAACGGATCCCTCCAACTGGAATCCATCCAATCATCTATGACATCACGAGCTGTTTAGCACATTCCCATAACTGTAAAATACCACCATCCCTAGCTTCCTTCAGGACGTGTGTTTATATTTCCATACCATCAAGTCTCCAAACAAGCTAGTTACAAAAACTAGTCAAGTGAGATAAATGGCTAGGTCTTGGAAATTAGCAAATTAGTTGAACTCAAGGGATTCCAGAAACTGTGCAAACAATATCCACTGGAAACTTGTGCCCATTTGTAGGTTGGGTTATTCCAAGTGTATATCACTATATAAGGCTCCTTCAAATTACCATGGGATCTGGCAAGCCATTAACCTTGATGTAATGATTAAACCTCGGCTCACTGGAAGGGACCTGAGCCATAGCTTTTGTTCAACTGTAAGCATTGCTGCTCAAGCTGGTCCAGTAACTTGTCCACAGAGTCCTCTTTGTTTTCCAGCTTGAGATACTTCCTGGCGCTTCCGAGATCTAGCCGAGGCCAGCTGCGGTGCCTCTGCTCTTCCACAGGTATAAGGTCAAGGTTTGTAACGCCAACTCCAACCATGTTCACGCACACCTCTGAGCTGGACTGCCTTGGAAGCAGTCTATGGTGACCCATAGAAGACACAGGCTTGTCCTCTGAATACACCAGATCCCTGGGCAGCATATGTGGTTTAGTCCTATGGCTCATGCTGTAGGATCGTCTGGGTGGGAAGGAGAAGATCTCCAAGTCCTCCCCACCCAGAGTGGACATAGAGGATGCGGTCATACAGTTGCTCAGTCCAAAGTGACTTTCTTGCCGCAGATCCAGTGCAGAGTTGGTCCCCCGTTCCTCTGTGCAAAAAAACTCTTTGCTGTCGTTGCAAGAGTTGGAGGAGTGAATCGAGGGGTTGGAGGAAGAGTCCTGATGATGAAGAACCTCAGTGTGCACCGTGTCTTGCTGCTGAACGCTGTCCTCCTCATCCATGCTCTTCACTTGGAGTAGAGGCTCCGAACTGGACATTTCTTGGAGGCAGAGGATGTTCAGGTGGGCTGCAGGTAAACTGCTGACCCATTGGTAGTGCCTGGCAAGAGAGTTCACCTGCAAGAGGTCTGCCGAAGGCATGGCTGCAGAAACAGAGCAAATGACGCTCCGCATCTGAGCCAGAAGCATTTGAGTTTCCCTGTCCCGATTCTCATAGAGTACCGTATTGGCACAAATAAGTATGAAGAGTCCCACTCCCATAATGACAGGTCCTAGTAGTTTCATCCTTTCACTATGAACCAGACTTGCTGCTGAAAACAGTCCTTTGGACCCTAATCCCCATCCTGATGCACTTCCAGAGGATCCTTCCTCTGTCGTGTCCACTGATGATCGATGGGCCCTGTACGGCCAGTAGCCTGCCACAGCAAGCGCGGTGCCAACAACAACAACCACCACCCCAAGCACCACAAAAGCACCTGGCATGGAACGGATACGCAGTTTTCCCTGGATTACACTTTCCTTCTTTCTCCTGGAGTGAAGACTGAACCGTGGCAAGCGTTGGCGGGAAGGTGTGGCTGACGTCCGGTCACGGGACTTCTGACTCCTCATGGCATAGACTGGTCTGTAATGGGCCCTAATGGGAGTCTGAAAAGGGTGAAGAGGGAAAAGTGAGATCAAGGTTAAGGTCGAGTGGTGACATGCTTTCAGTTATGCATTCAAGTCAAGAGAACTTTTTCATCTTAATGGTTGCTTCAGACCCCTAAAGCAATATGCAGTATGTGCATATTGACATATGCATATACATAAAGACACTGCAGCATGAGATGTTTAGAGAGTAACTCCATTCTGATGCCTCTGTGTGGTGCACCACAAACAAATCATAAACTGTATTAAATCTATTTAAACAAATCGTATAGACTCTAAATATAACCATCCTTAGAAGTAAAGTGGCTGATGCTGTGTTTTATTGCAGCGAGAGTATTCCCAGTCCCTCAAACAATTTGTAAACTGTTGCATTAGTTTTAAGGCATGGCATATTTCTTTAATACACTGACAGATAAACTACCCAGCTGGATTCCCAAAGGGAGCTCCAGATTTTAAACATGGTTTGCTGATTTTAGGTAATCTACGACAACATTTCTTTATGATGTTGATATTAACTTGAAGAAGAAACAGGTGTGCAGGGGAAGCCTTGCACTCATTGCACTGACCGAGGCAAAAATAAATTGAACCACTAAGAATCTCCAAAGTCTATGCCACATTTGGCTGAGGAAGAATGTGGGGAAAAAAAGAACAGTCCATAAATGAGAAATTATATGTGGCCAATCCACTTTGGAATAACAAACGCTCCATTGGCAGAGGTTTCTCAACAACTCTGAAAATGTCATTTACAATTCCGCCAACTCACTTGGTTTGTTTAAACTCATGGGAAATGCTTTGGACGTTCTGCTAGAAAACTTAGATCAGATAGAACTTGTAAGCAACATGTCAGTATTCAGAAATGCAAAGAAATATGGCCAAATGTAAACATTGAGGTTATGGCCAAATGTGTATAATAATAATATGTAGTTTTGGCACTAACTGCTTTTTGCAATGCTGCGTCATAAATGATTGAACTTACAACTATGCAAATGTCAAACTCCGTAAGTAAAATGAGACGCACACAGAAAAACAATCTGTAGTACATGCATCTCGGAGCATATGTTTGGACTGATTCATCAAAAGGCTGGACTGATGAATTCCAGACCTCTTTTTTTTCCCATTACCAAGTTCAGCTTTACGTTCAATGGCTGTTCACTCTGGTTTCCAAATGGGTGAAATTAATTATACAAGAGTATACAATATATACAGCAGATGTAGATCAATCAATGAATCCGAATTGTTCAATGTTTCAAATTATTTTTGATTATCTGTGCAGATTATTATTTAAACACCTTAGTCATCTCTTTGTAGACAGGACTCTACATGACTGTCGCATACAATCGTGTCTGAACACTCAAATATTCCTGCCATCATTGGCATAAATGCATGTACAGTCTAAAATTAATCGATTGTGACACAGATTAATTTACATGTTGCATGTAAAATGAAGGGGGGAAGAAGTCTATTCATAATCATTTTTGACATTGCCGTAAGCCTCACAAAACATTATGTTGTGGCTGTAACATCACAAAAAAAAACAAAAAAACTTTTTTTAATATAGGGCTCAATCTCCAGTTCCTTTGTGCATGCTGTATAATGCACCACATTTAAAATGTTCAAAAATGCACCAAATGAGATATGCAATTCATTATCATTTCAGACACATTTCAGGACGCTTTTCAAAGACTGTCCATATTGTGCTAAAACGATAAAAGACATCAAAACATGTTTTTGTATTTTTTGTTATTAATAGTAGGCTCAATCTCAAATTCATTCATTCCAATAAATCTATGTCTCTCTCTGTATATCACATGGAATGAAACAGCCCTACATGTTGAAGCCACCATTTCTCGATCTGCGCCCAAACTTGAGATTAGACTTCTTCAATAACATTATACATCTATCGACCTCTAATAAGGTCAAGTCAGTTTCTGTACTGATGTTGCCGCTTTGGCGCTACAGGTTACAAATGTATCAAAGGCGCCTCAATAGTCAATGCGAATACTTGCCTTTGTTACAGTGTATCGCGTCCGCGTTCCATCGTTCTACCGCGCTGGACACGCGTGTTCGTGATGCTCTTCTCCCGCTGCGAAGTTTCGCGGCTCCCCGTCAATCCAGACGCGCGTGAAGTCCCATGACAGCTCTTCCTCCCCAGAAGAGGACACTGAAGGGTTAAAAGAACGGACTTTCTAAAGACAGAGAGAGAAGGTACATGTGGCTCCATCATCAGTAGTCACCGTCCGTCCCCCAGCGTCCACGTTTCGTGTTGTCCCCTCGGTGAAGTGTTGAGGAGAGCGCCGCCCTCGTCGAGACTCGATGGAGTGACCAGACTTCAGTTCGCTTTCCATACAGACACAAACGTTCAACAGGCTATATTGCTCTCTTTTGGGTTTTGAAGAATACATTAATACATGCTGGTGGATATGAATATAAACAGGTTTGTAATGTAATATTGAAAGAACAGAAGAGGAAAATGATATAGAAAAGCAGGCACACAAGTATAGACATACCAGACACCGGACAGCCTTTTCCTCTTATCTGAATGTTGGCGACATCTTGTGGAATTATTTTTACATGTAGAGGCGGGAAAGTAATTGCTTACAAATGTCCTTTATAGATTATTATATATATATATATATATATACAGTGTTGGGGAAAGTTACTTTTAAAAGTAATGCATTACAATATTGCGTTACTCCCTAAAAAGTAACGAATTGCGTTACTTAGTTACTTTTTATGGAAAGTACTGCGTTATATTACTTTTGCGTTACTTTCGCGTTACTTTTTAAATATGAACAGGGCTTGATTGTTTTTTAATATAAGAAGTTCTATTTATAGCAAATATAAATGCCCTTTCACACCAAAAAGTGTAATGAATAAACCTCAGGCTGAAGGAAAAGTAAATTCACGTCTGTACAGTAGAA